AATGGCAGTTGTAGGAAAAGGAAATGAGAAGCTGTGGTGGGAAATGCCAAAATTGTCAATTTCCGACCTCCAGTTTTATTGCAGTCAGTAGTGACACAGCTTTTGGCACAGCTTCACAGGTTTGACATACAAGTAGGACAATCTTATTGACAGAATTGGGTGAATATCACTCGTCTAATTTAACCCTAAAGTTTATATTAGGAATTTTTTTTTTCTAATTTCCATATAGATTTTTTTTTTTTTATATTAAAAGGTGTTTTATAATAATGTTTATTTATTTTATTTTAATTGATCAAATGTTTTAATTATTAATTTATATATAATTGGTAGTATTGATTTCCTGAATAAATGAAAATAAATATAATAAATTAAAAAATATAACAAAATATACATTTCCTTCAATAAAAAACTATGGTATCACAGTATTTTACGTATATTATAATATTTAATAAAAAAACAATGACTACATCCTGACACATTGCAGTAATGCAAAAAATTTGCTTAATTGAAACGACTAAAAACACATCTGTTCCACCTTTATTTGACCCCATACACACCTTGCTACGTGTACTGCGTTAGGCTAACCGAGACTTATCAATTCCACTTATATATTGTTGCTCTTTTGTTAGTTTTGACTGCTTTTATTGTCCTCATTTGTCATATTTGTATAAAAGCGTCTGCTAAATGTAATGTAATTGTCTTGAAAATAATTTCACAATGCAAACAACCTAAATGGTCCTAAAATGTGTCTGTGCGTTTTTCTTGTTCTATTTTTCAAAATATATATATATTTTTTTTCCCTCAGTTTTGTAGTTAAGTATGACCTGGACATGTTGTCATGAGATTCAATATACAGTTGTTTTTGTTTTTTTCCCCCCATGAGAATCTGTTTTCTCCTGCATTACCATCATGAATTAGGAGGCTATTTAACACCATAAAATACGGAATGTTCCATCTGATAAAACAAGTGGGGGCCTGAGACTGATATTGCTGCAGATGCGTGTTCATTTACTCATTTGCTTTCATGCTCTCTCTAATGCATCAGATATATAAACAGAGATATCTTTATCTCAGTCATACTTTTACTGCAAATACATACTTCTATAAAGAATGACATAATTAAATGAAGAACCACAGGAAAATATAATTAAAAAAAACATTAAGGCAAACATAGACTACTCTCCCAGAAGGTCATAAAAAGCATCAGCAAACTTACTACGTTTCAACTGTTGCTACTAGGCTGTAACTGCCCAGAGTGTTTGGCATGAGTATTTGCATACTATTTACATGAGAGGACTGATGTTAAGGAGATACCTTCTAAAGCGTGTATTTACCTGTTCCACTTTAAGGACACCTGAACTGAAAGCATTTTTTTTTTTTTAACTCTGAAACAGTAATTATTACTTAAATATTTATTTGAAATTTGAGAGAAACTAAATAAACAAGTTTGTAGAATGAACACTTTATATGAACAGAATAAGGAAGTACTAATCCATCCATAATACATTCACTAAAGTCTCACAATCACTACTGAGCATGCATTAGTCAAATTCCCCTTCTAAGTATTTGCTTTGGCATTCACTCTCAAACTTCAAAGGAACCTGAAACACTTGTAGGTCAACGACAAACTAAATGTGAGTTGAACTCTTCACTAATCCAAAAACATGTGAAAAGACCAATCAATCCTTAACCAGCCCAAACTGTCCAGTTCTTTTTCTCCCAAAAACACCTTACAAGAGGAATGCATTAGGATGTCAGTAATGTCAGATGACAGCAATTCAGTGCCCTTAATGGCTGTCATTGTCCAGTGCCAGCCTGTTTATTCAGAAGGAATTTTTTAGATGGGACAATTTGTCCCTTTGGCACAGGCTTTTCCCTGTCCAGCTGATTTGAGAATGCCTGCTGAATGTCCATACCTGGCTTTTTTGGCCTTTTGTTATGTGGATTTTTGGATGCAAGACCTCAAGATCACAACGTACAGCTTGTGGACTAAAGGAATCGTTTGGCCAAAAAGTGACAATTCTGTCATTATTTACTAACCGTCATGCTGTACCAAACTAAGTTTGCTGTTATTTTTCCATTGAATACAAAAATATTAAATATTTTTTTAATTGTTATGCAAGTCTTGATATGCATAACAACAGCTCCAAACAACAGCTCCAAACAGACAAAAAAAACACCAATTAAGCACCATAAAACATTCCATATAGCAACACACAGGTTTAAAATGAAACAAGTGTGAAAACATAATGACAGAATTTTCATTTTTGCAACCCAGGCTCATTGCAAAGACGTGCCTGTGGTGATATTTGTGCAAAGTGATATTATGCAAAATGACATAACACTTACAAGGTGAAATAGTGAGTGACACTAAAACTGCGTTCAGTTTTATTTAAAACAGATTAACGTAAACCTGGCAACATTTTATAACGCTGGTTGTTGTTACTATCATGGCAGTTCGGAAATAAACCATCTGGTGAGTGGCGCTAAAAGCCACTATATATGCTGAATGATATGCTCTATCACGTTTAAAAATAAAAACGTACCACCTACAGTAAATTGACGGTTTAACAAAAGCAAACGTCAGACAAAAACACATTTGCTTAAGCAACCATGCCATTTTAGCTTGCTTCTACAAGTCTTTGAGTTCTTTTATCATGTCTTGTGTTTCACAGGACTCATACCAGAGCACTCCGTGTTGCAAGTGCAACGCAATACCAGGTGCGCCACTGAGCAAGTTTACTATGTTAGAAAAGCAATACATATGGAGCTGGTTATGTGATGCAAATGCCACAATTTATTAGTTTACGAATCATGCACTAAGTGTTTTCAGATCATAACAGTTGTTGGTGTTTTACTTCCTCTAGTGTTCATTTCATTTAGGTACTGCGGTGAAATGCATGGATACAACAGGAACGTTTTTGGAGTTTCACAAAAATGTAGCCGGCGTGTTTTTCCAATGAGCCTATGTTGCATTTTTGAGCAAACTACTCCTTTAACTCAGTTTTTTGATTCAAGGAGTATTGACCTTCACTTATAAGGTAAACATGTGTCTGCTTTTCCTCTTCCCAGCCCCAGCTGCCCACTTATTTTGACATGAGCAGTTCCTGTGCAGTTCCACATAAGACTGGGCTGCTTTATGTTGAAGACAATGAGGAAATGACCTAGCATGTGTGCATCTGAGGACATACAGATACGGGCTCTCCCGATGAAACCGAGAAAGAAGGAAGGAGAACGAGAGAGCGGGAGAGTGAGATGACATCATGGCAAAATTAAATAGGAGGATGGAGAAGTCCTGTAATGCAACACTGTAGATAGACATGAGACAGCTGTATTAATGAGATCTAGGACCGAAGGCCTTCCCAGCTTTTCTGCAGGACACATTATCTGCTTTGACAAACAGGAAAGCAACAGTCTCCAATGCTCAGCCACCAAAGAAAAGGATGTGAGGACTCCACATGTCCAACGGTGGTCTACAGTTTACAATAATGCAGCAACTGGCTACGAGCAAGCTAATATCAGATGAAAGAGGGACAGCAAACAGTTTGTGCACTTTTAATAGGAACAGTTGCATAGACAGCTGTCCAAAACAGAATTAGGGGACAGACGGTGTCTCTGTGGTGTCTTCAAACCCCATTGTGCACAGCTTCTTTAGTTCAATTAAGTCCAGATTATAATACTCATAATCTTATTATAAAGCAGGTATTATTGGTGGTCATCCCAAATAATAAACGCAGATTTGTGTGCTCTTATGACAGTACATGAACTAGTCAAAGTTTTTTTCTGTTTTACATGAGATGTAGTGCAAAACAGACAGCACCTGCTAAGGCTAGAACAACAATAAAGACATAGATAAATATACTCAGGCCGATTAATAAAAAAAAAAATATTGTGTACAATAAGTACTTGTTTGATTTCAGCAATGTTGTGCCTCACTGTCATCATTAAAAGTAAGTTTTTGTTTACGTTCAGCTTGCTGGATCTAATTCGCCCTAGAGTGTTTTTATACTGACACCTACTGGTCTGGATGCATGAAGTTTTGTCTGTTTAGCGATTGCTTTGTTTAATAAGCACCCCAGTTTCATGCCATACTTCTGTTTTATACCTTTTTGTTTTATGCTAAACAACTCATTGTATGCTTATGCTACGAACTAGAGTACTGACTGAAAACAGTATACAGAATAAACATTCGGTCAATCGCATGACATGACAGGTCATGTGATTTCAACATGGCATCACCCACGAGTGGCTGACCCACTCGATATAGAAGCCTTGTTTTTTTTTTAGAAGACTGATCAATTTCTCAGAAATGCTGTTAATTTCTTTATGTGTAAAACATGTACCATTAGCAAACATACAAACTGCACCTTTAATTTGTGTAATGTATAAATCAGCATTATATATGCCGCCCTGCTGTGTAGACACTGACATGATGATCTGCATTAAAAACAATTTCAGTCAGATGCACTTCAGTTCATTTTAGTGTACATCTCAATTGCTATCATTAGGTTTGTACAGGTTCATCTTTATGTACACTATTTATAAAAAAATATATATATAACAGTAATCAGACACCCTGCTCTCTAAATATCATATTATCTGCTGAAAAAAAAAACAGCTTAGAGTTTTGCTGGCCTTAGCTGGTTTCCCAGCCTAGTCAGGCTGGTCTGTTTGCTGGTTTTGGGCACCTGCTATCTGGCTGACCAGCTAAACACATGCGAGCACTGCCAACTATGACCAGCAAAGCATCTTAGGCTGGTTCAAGTTGTTTTTAATTAAAAAAATTTATTTTCCCCCCAACAAAACTGTCATTGAAACCACAGTGAAGCGCATCTTGTTGACTTATAAACTAATATTCACCTGCATTTTAATTTTCTTTCAAGAAGGATGAATAGATTCCTATCAGATAGTTGGTTAAAAAAGTTATGCACAGCTTTCTGCATCACTGTTACTGTATATAAAGCACAATATTCTAACATAGAAGAACATGCAACACTTACATATCTCCGCAGCTTCTTCTCTGGTGGCGACTTTCTCAACCATCCCTGACAGATGATTTCCCCTCCGCTCATTTTACAAAAGGAAAAACACAATCACAACAGTAATATCACTCTGAAGTCCTCAGATGATGCGGGTCCATCTATGCTGAACGCGCGTGGAGCTGTGGTGTGGATGTAAAACTGCAGCGCTGTGATGATGGGACGCGTCCTCTGAGCTCAGCAGGACAGTGTAAACACTGCTACACGCAGGAGAGACGCTTGACGCGAGGTGAGGGGAAGAAACGCTCGAGCTGTACGCAGATGTAGGAAGTACTGTTGGTTGTCTGCTGTTTGTTTTCCCACTCACTCACTTACACACACACACACACACACACACACCACGCCCACTGAATTGAAGGGACGGGACTCTCTCACTATAGGGATGAACGAAGACAATGAACCACAAGCGTGGAGTTCACCGCGCCGACACCGACTCCACACAGTTAGTGTATCTGCTAGATTACACACTTAGGCCCTCTTTTAAGCCTACATAAAGTTTGTAAGCATTTCTCAGATAATAATATTTACTTTAAGGGGTAGTCTAATGCCCCATGTTATAAAATGAGCCCCAGCAGAAAGCACTGAGTGATTTCCCAGAATTAGAACCACCAGCCGTAACTTTACCGAGCGCATTAATTAGAGAAACACACCACCTAGTGGACGAATTTATGTAATGCACGATCAACTATACACGCACTTCAGATGTTACGTTCTTATTGGGTTAAAAGGTGTTTAGCTTGAACGCTCAAACACTAGGATTTATATATTATTTTATATTAGGGTAACTACTCTTGTTCTAAAGGCTTATCAGGCCTACCTTCTTTTTTTGAAACACACACACACACACAACATGTCCTGCTTGCACTTACCCATTTAATGGCAGACAATGGTGACTTTCACTTTTTATTCTTTAAGCGGATGCAAATCTGTTGTAAAATAATCATATGCATCTCGTGGCGTATATTCCAAACGTTCTGAAGGAATACTGTAGGGTATATGACGATTTGGCATGATCTTGTGTTGCATTCCTGTGTGCGAGTGCGCAGGAGCTTGTCAATCATTTTTAATTTTAATAAAACAAAAGACTTCATTATAAAACTCAGAAGAGTAAGTATTTTAATAGCTCTGTTGTTCTCCTGTTGTCAGTCAGAATGATAGTTCTTGTGTGAACATTATAGGCTAGGCCTATTATATACCCAAATCAAAGCATTATTCTTTCCTTTTTGTATTAGCGTTTAAAATATTTATTTTGAAACGAATTAATTAATTACTTAATTAAACAAACAAACTTACTGGGGGACCAGAGTAGGCTATGACAGCTGTCATATCATACCCTGGCATGCCCAGCTGATGCAAAGCATAGAATTTATATCTACACAGAAGAAAGCCCAGGCTCTGCCACAGTACAGATTGTGTCGAGCCATTCATTAGTCTGGTTGTTTGATGACAAAAAGATTAAATGTAGTTGCAATAAAACGGGTTAAGAATCCCTACAACTGCAACAGCAGAGGGCTATTATTCTGCTGCGCGGAACTGCAGAAGAACTGATGACGGCAGTTTGATCTTCGGCTGACCAATCAGCAGAAAGGGGCGTTTAATTCCCGCCCACGTGTAGAAATCAAATATTCAAGCTGTTTATTCATTTTTCTACCCCTGAATGAAAAACGAAAAATTAAGCCGAATTCTCGTTTTTCACAAAAAAAGAAAAAACAAAACAAAAAAGGAGCCGTTTTCTCATTTCTACTTTCAATATTAAATAAAAAAATCAAATGACCAAAAGATACACTAACCGTTGTGGTTTCGAGTATCGATACATCAGCCCTTTACGGGGAACACGAGAACTCGCAGTAAGACAACTTAATCCAGATATTTGAATCAGATCCGCCAATTCGTTTGAAGAACCAAATTAGCCAAAGATCAGTTATCACGATTAGAAGATCTGGCATCTTTCAAATCATCTCATATGTATTAAGCGAGGTAAGAAGAACGGACCCCAGGTCAGGGTGAGATGAAGGACAAGGCACTGAGACGGAAACATCCGAGAGAAGTACCGACGGTAAATGGCACAACTATCTTATGAGAAGTTTGAACTCTTAATGAATATTCTGGAGCTCTTTACATGAAAAAGTCACTTTATTATTCACACCTAAATATGGGCATCTATACGGGAACCCTCCTATCCCATACGGTTGTAAAACTTTTTAGCTTCTCTTCTAATAAATTCAAAATTCAAGAGCAAATCACAATTATACTTTGCACTTTATTAATAGGTGAACATCTTAATAAGTGAACAATTAGTGTAATTCTGTCGCCACGAAAGATGAATTTTTATTTTATTTATTTATTAATCATTCTTGACCAGTTATTGACTACTAGCTAACGTCTTGTGCTGGTATTCTCCTCTTTAGATCAAAAGTCTACAGCCCATCTCCAGATCTGTAGAGGTTATTGATTACGAGGAACTTCCCACCGGTGTTCTTCAAGTCCTTCTTGCTGCTGAGCCTCTGGTGCAGGAAGACCTCCAAACTCATGTCCACGCCACTCCAGTCAGTCTGAGAGCAGGTAAAATGCCTCCTCTGATGATAGAGTTGGACAGCAATGAAGTGGACTTGAGACCTGAGGGTGAGTTTACTGGCACAATCCCAAACATAACACACACACCTTACAATATCTGCGAAGCAGTACCACAAATCATTGTCTTCATCGATTCATCTTTTAACAGACAACATTTGCTGGCGATATGCAATCGGCAGTAAGCTGGGACAAGGTGGATTTGGTGCCGTCTATAGAGCTCCGGACGTCACGTGACCCATTCTGTTTACACCACAATGCTGGCAGGCAGGGACAGCTGGGAGTGAATATGAAATGAATGGCGCCACCATGAGTTTCAAGGCAACAGAGTTCACTGCGTACTTTAATTCAAAAGACATAGACCTGTACATAGCAAAATTTACATAGATTAAGCATAACAGATCCCTATAATGCCCCCCTTGGTGCTTTTAACGTGTAGCCTATCAATAAAGGAACGGATAGATTTCCTGACCTGCAGTATCCTGATATCTACAACTACCTCATCAACTTTCCCTCCTAACATTACTCCGGAGACTCTTTAAAAGCCTACATATATATAAAAGAAAGACTACAAGGTTAAGAAGCTTACTTAAATGTAAAATGTTTCTTCTCTATTTTGCAATAAAAGACGGTTTCCCTTATTGATCACGTCTCGGGTAGATTGCATGTTTTCTTGCACGGCGGGATGTTGGACTCATGAAAAATAATCACGTAGTTTGTATTTGCCAAAACTGATTTACCGAAGTCAAAACATGGACGGAATTGGCAGTAGCGCGAGCACCGCTTAATTGTGAAGCGGGAGCGACCAGCCAGCAGAGGATTCTGAAGCCTTCCTCAAACAGTTATGTTCAGGATTTTCTTTTTTACTTAACGAATACTGCGTGAGGTGGGAAGAAGAAGGGCCAAGGGAAGTCATGTACGGGACACATAATTTAAACCCAATATGGGACGTCCCGGCTAATACGGGACGGTTGGCAACCCTAGCTTTCCCCTGCCTGTTCTGGCATCATGGCGCACAGCAGTTGTCCACCATATTGAAATAGTAAGGTTTATAAGGTCTAAATAGTCTGGTTTTAAATTACTGTTGTACAACTGTCGATACGAATGCTCTAGCGCTCTCCTGATTGCCTGCCAAAATGGTGGAGTTTAGAGTGCGTGACGTCAACCTCCGGAGCTCTATAAGGCGACTCGTTTGGCGGATGGACTTAATGTTTGACAGACAAACTTGCCTAAGACTGAGTTAAATTCCCATTCTACATCATAACATATTTCTTACTTCCAGCCTGATCATGCCAAGCCCCTTCCAAAAAAAGTCGCCCTGACAATCCTGGTCAATGAAGGCCCAGTGATAAACATTATTAAGCTGCTGGACTGGCAGGACCAGCAGAACTAATACGTCATGGTCGTCCAGCGTTTCTCCCACTGCATGGATGTTTTCTGCTTTGTGGAACGCAATGGAGGCAGCATTGACGAGAAGTTAGCACGGCTCATCATGTGGGGGCAACGCTAGCCGCGCGTGCATGTTGTCGCCGTGGAGTATACCATGGCGACATCAACTTGGAGAACCTCAAAGTCAAACTAATTGAATTTGGATGCGGCAGTCTCCTGACGGAATATGCCTACACAAGATTCTATGGTGTGTATTATCTCTACAAACTCTTGTGAATCAGTTAACTCAATACTTGAAGCTAAGGAGACATGCGGTGGTAATGACTAACATGTCAGACAAATTCTTTCCTCTAGGCACAGTTATGTACTGCCCTCCCGAGTACATACTGAAGGGTGAGTTCCATGGAAAGCCAGCGACAGTCTGGTCTCTGGGGATCCTCTTGTTCAGAATGCTGTGTGGATACTTTCCAGATAGTTTCGACTTCTACAGGACCAACATGAACACCTGGTCCAAACCTGGCTTGACAGAAGGTGAGTTCTTCTCCACAAGTACAATTCTAATACAAAACTTCATAGGCTTTATAGGAGAAGGCCATATGGAAAATGCAGGAATTTATCCTGTTTTTCAGACCTGAAGATCTTTCAGCTTAGAATAACGATTAGAGCGGATGTAGTTTATGGTAATAATCAGACGTCTCTCCCATCTTTCTGCACAGAATGCTGCCATTTGATCTGCTCCCTTCTGCAGCAAAAGCCAGAGCGTCGGCTTGATCTGGACAGGACTGTTCACCACGACTGGTTTTAGGTACTAAGAAAATAATTAAGGTGTATTTTGAAAATGTCACCTGTTCTAATAATGAATTTAACAATAAGCTAATTTCTGTGTTTTGTTCTAGGTGTAAGACCAGTCACGGCATCTTTTTTGTCTGCCAGGCAAATTGATGTACTTTTGTAAATAATTTAAGAATTGATTACTTTGTCTGAACGGCCGCAGAGCTTCCAGCCAGAGCCTTCACAGAGATCTACTATTTAGTCAAAAAAAGTTACCATATGTGTTAAAAGTGCACTTACTCAACTAAAACTTCTAGATTTTACATTTTATATTCACAGAATGAAACAGCGGACATTATTAAAACATAATTAAATTAAAAAACAACTGTTCTGCATCACAAGATCAAAGAGAATGGTTTTATTTTGATGATGTTAAATGTGATTGATGATATTGGTCAAAAATAAAAAAATAAAAACAAATGACTACTTTTTGTTTTCTTTTCTTTTTTTCTCAGGTAGGCTGTTAACTAATATCTGCTCCCATCTATGACAGAGAAGATGAATACGTTTCATGAAAATGCAAAACCTGTTTCTAGAACTTCATCAATATTGCTAATTTTGTATGTTTTCCTAATCAAACACACCTGATTCAGATCATCAGCTCAGTAGAGACTCAAAGACCTCAAATGGGTGTCACATATAAAAGACATTCCAAATGTGCAGTGTTGGGTGGCTCCAGGAACAGGTTTTGTGAACCACTGTCTAACGGTATCGACAAAAGTAAAAAATAAAGCACATTCAAACATTCAAGTTTTTTTTTTTGTTGTCACTTTAGAACACTGTTTCAAAGCAGGCAGGAGTGTGAGAACCTTGCAAATGGAATCACATCTTTAATATTGTGGAGTCCCAGAATGCACTGCAGGTACCTCTCAAAGCCCATCCCAAACCCACCATGGGGGACTGAGCCAAACTCTCTCAGCTGCAGATACCTGTCAATCACAAAGATGCTCTCTAAGGGTATGTACAGACGACAACAATGTAATAAAAACAGAAGTTTTTCATGTACAGACGACTGACCCCTGTGCGAACATGTAATACGCATGCACGTGACGTCACTGTTTTCACAAATGCATGTTTTTGTAGTTTACAGAGACGATAATGGTATTGTTTTCAAAAGTTTGCGTTTTCAGGCCCCCAAAACATTGTCGTGTAAATGCCCCTTAAGTCTGGAATAAAAATGCGGATGGGCTGCAAAAGTTTTTAGTGTTTTTAGAAACCTACCATGCATGTGTGTCCTCCAAACCAGCCCTGTGAAAAGAGGGAAAACATGCAGGAGATGCAAGTGATTAGTACTTAGTAATACATCTGTTAACATGTAATACATTTGGAAAGCATTACATTCCATTTTTGGTGCCGTATTTGTGTACAGAATTTTGATAATTAAAAGAACACGTTCACATTCTAACATACAGAATATATACATTGTAGCCTAAAAATACTAAAATAAGCTTCTTTTTTTTCTCATTACAAATCAGTGCGAATAAAAAGGAACTTTTAGCACTTGATGTTTTATTTACAACAGGGGTGTCCAAACTCGGTCCTGGAGGGCCACTGTCCTGCAGAGTTTAGCTCCAACTTGCCTGGAAGTTCCTAGTATTCCTAGTAAGACCTTGAATAACTGCTTCAGGTGTGTTTAATTGGGGTTGGAGCTAAACTCTGCAGGACACTGGCCCTCCAGGACCGAGTCTGGAGACCCCTGATTTATACTGTGAAAGTTTGGTGTCAGTTTTTTTTTTCTTTTTTCCAAAGAATCTTGCAAAAAATGTATCAGTTTCCACAAAAATATTAAGCAGCATAACTGTTTTCAATATTGATAATAAGAAGAAATTATTATTTTTTGTTTGTTTTGTTTTCGAACACCAAATCAACATATTAACATTATTTCTGAAGGATCATGTGACACTGAAGACTGTAGTAATATACACATATATACATACATATATATATATATATTTTACAGCATTTTGGATTAAATAAATGCAGTCTTGGCAAAGAGAAAGGAAAACTTGAAAATCGCATCATATGACCCCTTTAAGAGACTTTCAAAACTTTCCTGACGACAAACGTTTGAACGGAAGTTTATCCATGTCTTAAGTAATTGCAGCATATATTATTTTTATTACTATGTGAAAAGGGACTCTTTTCTAATTCTTACCGTGCTAGTCGTTGACTCAGAAGTTCTAGTCTCTCCTCTCTCAGGGATCCACCACAAAGCTCCCCCACTCCAGGCACCAAGAGGTCTACAGCAGCTGCCTGTCCAAAAAAATAATCAGGAATGACTAAATGTGAAAAGAATTAGGCCTCACTGACATGCTGAATTCAAAAAGACATGCCATGACATCTTTACCACATTTGATCATTTACTCAAGGCTTTAAACATAATATAAACATATTTCACACTGATTGATGAAATGACTGATGAAAAATCCTTAAGTGGAACTCATGGCACGACCACATGTAGAAAAGACTGATAGTAAGAGCTCATTCTTACAGTGTGGTTGGGCTGGTCCTGGTTGTCTCGGGCATAGAAAGGCTTTAACTCGTAGGGATAGTTAATGACAAACACTGGGACATTTCCACAATGTTTCACTAGGAACTTCTCATGTTCTGTCTGAAGATCACAGCCCCACTAATGTAAAGCATATGTCAAAGAAAGTGAGAACAGATCATATTAAAAAAAGATCTTCTCAAACTAAAATATACACTGACTACCATTAAAAAGTTTGAGTCAGTAAGGTTTTTAATGTTTTAATGTTAATGCAGCATTGATGACTCTCTTGTGCTCATCCAGGCTGTTTTTTTTTTAAAACAAAAATACGGTAAAGCCAGTAATATGTTGAAATATTATTCCAATAAAAAATAACTGTTTTTTATTTTTATATATTTCAAAATGTAGTTTATTCCTGTGATGGCAAAGCTGAATTTCCAACATCATTACTCCAGTCTTCAGTGTCACATGATCCTTCACAAATCTGCTCAAAAAACATTTCTTACTTTTATCAAGGTTGAAAACATTTTGTGCTGCTTAATATTTTATGCAAACTGTGATATGTTTGTTTCAGGATTCTTTGATAAAAAGTTAAAATGAACAACATTTATTTGAAAAAAATGTTGTAACATTGTCTTTACAGTCACTTTTGATCAATTTAACGCATCCTTGCTGGATAAAAGTAGTCATTTCTTACTGACACCAAACTTCTGAATGCTAGTGGACATCATTGTTATTTAATGTGCATTTCTTAAAGTATCTCTTATATTATGAATAGTAACTATTTAAAACAAACATATGCTGTACTTTACTTGCCTCAGTACTGAATGTAAAGTTCTGTGAACTGCTCTTTAGAATGTCTATGGCCTCAGTGTAAGAAATGCTGTAGAAAACAAATATAACTCAATTTAGAAGCGTGCAATACAAATGCAAGGTTTAAAGAGATGAGATACTCAAAAATTCAAATTAAGCAATTATAAGATTGATACTGTTTGAGAGAAGTATTACTTTATTCAGACAATTTTGTAGAAGAAAAAAAGTAGTGTCTTTCTCAAGCTCAAGGCCTTTTTTAAAGGGGTCATATGATGTTGCTAAAAAGAACATTATTTTGTGTATTTGGTGTAAAGAAATATGTCTCAAAACTCACGTTTGAATCGTCAGTGGCAAATTCTTTAAATATGAAAATTTTTCTTTGCGTGAACATTTGGGCGGCGTTATGCAAATCTTCCCACATCGTGACGTAGACATGTGGGGGCGTGTTTAAACGAGCCGTTTTAGGAGGGCGTGGATCAGTCTTAACTTTTATAAAGAATATCTCTTTGGGTTTGAGACTTTAGTCTTTGCAACTTTAGGGATCCATCTATGCACTAACAGCTTGTAACACTCCAAAGAGAAAGGAAAACTTGAAATCGCATCATATGACCCCTTTAAGAAGTAAAAAGACTTCAACTGAAATATAATACTTACACATTAAATTTTCTTTTCAACATGAGATCCACTTGATCCTGGGAATGTTCAAATAAGATAAACATGATCAGTGTATTACATGCATTATACCGGAGAAACTCTCAATGCTCTTATAAGGCACTTATAAAGCATAAAGAGCAATAGCATTGTGTGTCATACCCTGTTTCCTGGTGCAATGTATTTGTGAAATAACTCTACATCCTCTGCACAACAGGACAGCACATGCTCCGTGGCAGCCTTGAATAAGTCCTCCATTACCTGGAGAATGAGAAACAAGCTTTAAAATGAAAATGATGCATTATGACATGTACACACTTTCAAATCCACCTTAAAACCATCATCTGTTGCTTGATAGAGTCTTTAGTGCATGTAATTCACTGAGTGGGAAGGAATGAGTTTTGCACCTTCATAAGGTCGTCGAGTGACTCAGTGAAGGCAATCTCTGCCTCTACCATGTAAAACTCTGCCAAGTGTCTCCTGCTTTGAGAGTTCTCCGCTCTGAACGTGGGGCCGAATGTGTACACTGCTGAAAAAGCCCTACAACGGACAACAGCAGATGCTGAGCAATCACAAAACAGTTTAGCATTCAACTTCAGCTAATGAATACTCAGCTCGTTATACATTTTGTAATGTCTAATCTAGTGGATCTCAAACCCTTGACCAACACAATAATTATAAAGGTTTTTAAACTTTTTAAACAGACACTGGGAGCATTATTATTATTGATAAATTGGTAAATTAAAAACACGATTCATTTGACTCTATAAGCTTCGAGAATCTGATTCTGAATGGTTTTAAATAAATAATAGTTATTGCGGGGGAAAAGCAATGATTTCAGTTAATCTTGATTTTCTGTGTTTTTAGCATTATAATTAAGTTTTAATGAATTTTTAATTTAAAAAATTTCTATTCAATGGTTTCCTCTGCCACAATAAAGTAATGCTTTTCAAATTACTTTCATTTGGGGGCTTTTCTCAGCTAATATTGCTATTCAATTGTGTTATATAACAAATAAACTTCCTAATAAATTCACAGCCCTAATAATAAAATAGAGCTAAGATCAAGAACATGACTAGTTGTGTCTAAACTCTTTACCCTGCCATCACCTCCAGGTGCAGTTGTGCTGACACTGTTAGGTAAGCCGGCACAGAGAAGAAATGTGGGTTTGGATCGTCTGAGTCATTTTTATGACCTGCAGGCTTCAGAGAGCACAAAGAAAAGTTTTCATTGTTTTAAGGAAGAACCAAAAGTATCCATGTACCATATTTTGAAATAATATCATTTTGCTTGTTGCTATATCTCACATTTCACCCTTCAACTAAGAAATACATAATAAATCTGACCGTACCTCAACTTGGAAGAGTTCTCCAGCTCCCTCACAGTCATTTGAGGTGATTACTGGTGTGTGTATCTGCACATAACCGTTATCCTGTAACAACAATTAACACATTCACTCAAAAGGAAATACAAGCCATGTGAGAATTTTTGTTTCATAATTATAATTTGTTATTCATTTGCACATTATGCAAATTATACAAGTAATATAAGAATTAAAGAATGAAAATACATTCAAATATTTTTTTACTACTATTCAAAAGTTTTGGGCCAGTAAGATTTTTTATAAATAAACATTTATAATATTACAAACTGTATAAAAAATATATAAATATATAACATTTATAAATACATTTATATTCTTTTTTATAAATTTTGTAAAAATGTATAAATACATTGTTAATTATTAAATTACATTAATTATTTCAAATAAATGCTGTTGTTTTGAACTTTCTGTTCAACAAAGAATCCTGAAAAAAAGCATCATGGTTTCCACATAAATAATAAGCAGCAGAACTGTTTTAACATTGATAAGAATTGTTTCTTTAGCAGCAAATCAGCATATTAGAATGATTTCTGAAGGATTCATGTGGCACTGAAGACTGGAGTAATGATGCTCTCCTTTACAGGAATAAGCTACTTATTAAAATATATTAAAATATAAAACAGTTATTTTTAAATTGCATAAATATTTCACAATATTACTGTTCTTACTTTATTTTTGATCAAATAAACGCAGCCTTGGTGAGCATAAGAGATTTCTTTCAAAAACATTAAATCTTACTGATGCCAAACTTTTGAACAGTAATGTGTAAATTATAACTTTTCACCCTGAAGAATGACTGGATAGCGGTTGTAGCCTCACTGCGTATCCTGAGCAAAGAGCTGAAGGCATTTGTTCGGCATCTGAGGTGAGGAAACTGCCTGACATACTCCAGAGAATGACGCTCCTTGATCTTGAAAGGAAAGTCCTAGAGCAGACATACTCTGTCAATATATTAAGTCAGACTTTTTTTTATATAAATCACTTTATCTATTTTCTCTGACTGATTCATTTTCAAAGTAAAGACTCACCACAGGATTGCATTCACCAACCACTTTAATATGCTGAGCATGTAACTCCACATTTTGTCTCTTATTTATGCTCTTCTCTAAGGTGCCAGTGATGTCAACAGCACAGCCAAATGTGAGGTCTCTTGACAAGAAGGGAGGATAAATCAAAACTATTCATCTACAGAGGCCCTAAAGAGTATTTAAACAAATAAAAACAAAACAATTTTTTCTTTGATTTTTAGTGGATGCATGAAATCAGTTCCCTCAGATTCACACA